ACTTAACGTTAAACATACCCAGTAAAATGCTGTAAAGATAAAACTTCTATCGCAAAGATAAATCTACAACTTTTTTACCACACCACTAAAGTCAAATGTTCCCGTTTATATAGGAACCGTCTAATTTATAAACAACAATAGTATTATTATTATACCTTACTAGGAGAAACGTCTCGAACTGAGATATTCCTTACATAGCTTTTCTATCAGTAAATATTTTGAATCTCTTACTCATACTTAATCTTAATCTAAGCTCGTAGGTTGTCTAATTCAACTATCATCAGCTATAACTTGAATCATCTTATTGCTATCTATCGCACAATAACAATCAATATCAAATATGTATTGAACTATTACAAACAACATCCACGTTAAGGCATTATTTATCTTACCTAGCACTACAAATATGGATATTCTCCATACTAATTATTACTGTACTTATTAAGTTATCCTAATGACAAGGCAACACCGCAACATTGAACTGTTTCAATTTATTATAGCATAAACACCTAATAAATCACATAAGCCATCAGCATAGACCGATGCTAAGCTCCAACAACGATTCGAAACAGTATTAAATGAGTAATTTAGTTCATTACTGCACACTGTTAGCAATAAGTATTTTCAGAATAATCGCGCTGACAATCTATTCTAACAGTTGATAACACGAACTAAATCATACTTAGTAAATAAAAGGTGAAGCTGCCTAGTTCCTACTACATGAAAACTTCTGTTTCTAATAGATAATCCAATAAAACACGTTCGTTATAAACTTGTATAGTCTGCTATGTATCTTGCTGTGTGATTTTTACACAATATGTCTAGCTATATCTTGTGTAATATATAGTAAAGTAACAACGAGAGAGGATTCTACTAGTTTTAAAGATGTAAATCAGTTAGTACTAGAAAATAATACTGCTAGTAGTCTTTCTAATTTTTACTTGATAATACGGCATATATTTCTCTTTTTGTATCATCGGCCTTACAGTTCAGGCAGAGAGAAGCAGTATAGTAACGCCGTGCAGACCTAGGTAGAGTCGGAGACTATAGAGCAGAAATAGATCTACTTCTGGTTGTTCCTGATTGAGTAATCCACTATTCCTGCTTGCACTTTTCCTGCTTGCAAGTCTATACCCGGAAGCACTTTAAACATGCTTTTCCAGTATATTTCCTCTGCTTTTACGCCAAGTAGATTGAAATGTCTCTTCTCTTTGTCTTAGATCTCTTGTCAATAAACTATTCGAAAAATAATAATTAAATCATTACAACATTAGTCCACGGAAACATCCTGTCGTAATCTACCATAATGGAAAGTAAAATGGACATTGTACAAGAATATACAAAGTGTATACGGTACGCGAAGGAGAATCAAAGCGAGCTCTACTACTGTAGTCTAGAATGAAATAGACACTATAGAAGAGAGCTGTTTTTATAATAATAGCATGGACATTAATACTTTAGTATATATTGATCTTCTAGCGCATCTGGTTCGCTACAAATTTGTTTCCTTCGTCTATAAAGAATATCTTGCTTATATTGTCTGTAGAATGCAAAGACAGAGAAAAATCTTATAAACTTGCCTCTATGACCAAAATAAAATCAAGAATAGAGTAGCCTTAGTAGAAAAAGAAAACTATTGTCTCTAACAAAAGCATAGGCGGAACAGAAAAATCTTAAAAACTTACCTCTGAGGCCAAATACAGTAAAGGATGCAGCAGATGTGGTAGAAAGCAGAAATCTGTTGTTCCTAACAACAACACAACGCTGATGCAGGATATTGAACATCTAGCATATCTTCTGGACTACCAGTTTGTATACTTCGTCCACAAATACACCCTGCCTGCAGTCAGCCTTTAATTAAGGATGTAGCAGTTGCTATAAAGAAAACTGTTCTTTCTAGCAAAAACAACACATAATTTATTAAAGGAAAACAATTTATTTGTTTGCTGCAGACAACGCGTTCACTATGATCTTCCATTAAAAGAATAAACTCAAAGTCGTTTATTCATATTTTAGTAAAGGCATTAATTGAATTACGTACATAGGTGCAAGAAAGTATGGCTAGTTTTTAATTGTCAAACTAAATAGAAAGTAAAATAAATTAACCCGATTATATCTTATATACTGTAAATCTGTTCGTTTGAAACGAATCTTATAGAGAAATTATAATTTATAAGTGTTTTGAATTTCAATTACGTACGGGCTAATTTTGTTAATGCTATGAATGAGCTTTATGATTAACTATCTAAGAAAGAAATAGATGAATCTGTGGTGCAAGTACCTTTTTAATATAGGTTTCCTATCTGGCGTGGAGCGATTCTTAAGTATTTAACTTACGAAGATAGTATAACTAGGTCGTAGTGACAAGAAAGGCTTAGTAGCGACCAATTTGAAACTAGCTGTACTTTCAACAGAGAAATTAATCTATGTTGAAATTATGATTTTTACACATGTTCTGCATCAGATCCTAAAAATGATATTGAACACAGTTTAACATGATCTGTTAGCCACATGCTTTTAAACGATATTTTACAGTACAATATCATTAGTAGACGTATGATTGAAAATTTCAATTTATGCTTTTAAATCTTCCTAGGCATTACAGAATATTAATTAAAATTGCACACTTGCGCTTAAGCATGATCTACAAATAGAAAATCAGGTATCCAAGATAGCAAACAATTGATTTGTGCTATTCCTTGTAATTACAGTATTATATTAATAGACTACCACTTGGGACAATCAGTATAGAAAATACTTAGAATGAAAACGGCCAGTTTTCTATAGCTTTAATGAAGAATCTATCATTTCCATTCTAGATTCTTAATTTAACAACTAAAAAATGTAATTAACTTTCAAAATATACTCATTAATAAGTAATATCCTGAGAAATTTTAGCTGAGTGCGGTGCAAGCCAAATTGATTTCAATGACAGCATTTATACTCTGTGGCACATTATAAAATTAAGAAGCATGTTCTATATCGTCAAATTGTCATAACATAATTAAAATGAGACAACTTAAAGCTAAAAATGCTATATTCAAACTACATTTTCTTCTATTTCTTTTTATCTGCTACTTTAAGTAAAGTAAATACACTCAGAGGTCTCCTGCTTGAGTGGTTCAGTCAAAAGAATGCATCAATTATCGTATAAGACCAGTAGCTGTATGCGGATATACTGACTCTTCTTGATAAATTTAAAGCAATCATACTTTTAAAATAGCCTTATAATTGACTTTGTTAAATTGTATGGTACAGTTTGACCTTTAATAATATTAATTATATATGAGCTATAGGCCACAAAAAAATAAACAAACTACAATTTAGAAAATATAAACTATTAAACAATGCTAAAGCATCCACCATTATAGTATTCGAGGAATGCTAACAATTAAGATAAATACGTAAGAAAGCTGTTGAATTTTTAGCGTAGAAATCGCCATAATTAATTTGCAATTAAAGATAATTAAATGGGCTAGATACGATAATAATTAATATTGACGTTTTTAACAGGAATAAAAGATAAGACTCCTTATATTCTAGTCTTTACTTTGATTTCACAACAGCGACTCATATATGATTAATTTGATGCAATTTTGTTTATTAATTAATTAATTAAAAATCATTGCCATAGGTACTGATTTGCAAACAACCTTAAGTTTGTTTTCTTTCATTACGCTGAAAATCATACACTAGGGTACTTTTTGAGTACTAGTCAAGCATATAATACACAAGCAATACAGTCATAAGATCAACTAGATAAACAGACTTTGGTGATTTATCTTGGAGAGAGACGAAGGTATACTGATTGAAGAGAACTGACATACGTAATACTCTATAACCAAGAGAATATTAGCAATTCTCTCACAAAAGCAGCTAAGACTTTGTCACATGCAGTAATGTAAAATAAGGAAATGAAATTGATTCACGTATAAAATATAAAGATCATAACCTTGAAATGTTTTATCTCCATGTTGACTATGGAAATTAATTAATAATGCTTTCGTTCGTAATGAAGAATAGCTAGATTCGTAATTGTTTCAAATCTATAAAATTGATAATATATTTTACTTAGGCAAGAAAAATTTTCCACATTGTAAAGTAAACTTTATTGTAGCGATACTTTAAAAATAAATGATGAAAATTCGTATCGAAAATTTTATTTAATTTAAAAAAGTATATTTTAATTTATTTTCCGTCGGCAATAATTTGTAGATATAATACTGAATTATAAAGACTGAATAAATTTTCTTTTCAAATTACTTCCATAGAAGTTTGTGAAAATATTTAAAAGCAGACAAATGTTACGGTTCATTTATTTATTTGGAATAATATCTCATTAACAATTTAAATCCTTTGTTTAAAAATAGCACTAATACGATGCTTAAAGTGATTGTCATTCATTTCTAAAATTTCCTATTACGAGGATCCAAAAATTACGTTCGATTAAAAGTTATTTTTTATTACCTATAATTTTTTGCTTGTAAAAACAAAGTCCTTACTCTAAAGCAAATCTATTTATACTTTGTGAAATGTAAAAGTTCATAATATCGCCTAATATCATTGGAAATAAATGCCAAATTTGCAATGAAAGTATCTTGGTATCTAATATGTAAGTGTAGTTTATTCGTAAACTTGCAGTCATTCATGTTAAACTATTTTGACAATACCTAAGCTCTATAATTGCTTATCATTTTATAAATTTACTTAACTAAGATAAATTTATCATTTACGATCAAGATTCGAAAGAATTTTATTAGAACAGTTCTATTGCCGATTTCGCGAAAGACTTGAAAAGAATTTAGCAACGGTCAGAAATTAAAGAGAAATTATTCTTTCCATTTTCTTGGCTACAAGTGAATTTAAAGCTGTCATATGTGGTTTAAATTGAGTATTAATACAAGATTGTGATATAGCCTAGCATAGTTGCTATCTTCTGAACATTTTATTACACTATTTCGAAAATTAAAGACGCGTTAATAGCTTTGATATTCGTAAAAATGAACTACAACTATTCGAACAATGGTAGTTCTGCCTATACTCCCTTTTCTCCATTTTCATGGTTTAATTCAGATCTTACTATCATCGCTATGGTATTGAGTTTCTTTAGCATAACTTTAAATGTTATCATTTTCCATAAAATTTGCACCCAGAAATATCTGCAGATACCCTTGAATCGCCTTATCGCTAATCTTGCACTTGCTGATATAATTCATGTCGTTACGTATAGTGTAGTAGCGACTTTTCCTCTAATATTAAAGACGTATCCTCAATTATTTGGGAAAATAACACCAAACATTGCTAATATTGTTTGCAACAGTTTATTTTATATATACGTTGCATCAATAACTACTTCTACATTTACGCTGTTGATAATTGGAGCAGAAAGATATCGAGCAATTATACACCCACTAAAACGAGCATACACTGGGAAGCAGATGAATAGGATTTTGATGGCAATCTGGATAATATCACTTAGTAGCACCCTTTTAATTGTAATTCTACGCATTTATGATCGCAATAGTATTGTAAACTGCACAAGTTCATTATCGCCTTATGGATCTTTCTATAATGCTATTTCATTCACTATTTATGCCGTTGCTACGTTTGGAATACCAATAATTATTATTATCACATTGTATGCCTGCGTTATTGCTAGATTATGGCATCATGACCCTCCAATGGCCGATTCAGAGTATAAAGCAGAAGTCAAGAAGTCTAGGCGAAAGAAAAATCAAGCCATAATGGCATTACTGATCATTACCATTTTATCGGCAGCTTCCTACTTCCCATTTATGGCAATACATATAGGAATTGCATTCCTAAAGCACTCTACTGGTAACGCGGTCAGGCGTTTACCCGAAATATTTTGGATATTTTATCGTTTGTCTGCTCTTTTGATGTTAATTCCAACTATTTTAAATCCCATGCTGTACAATTACGCCAGTTCTGAAATTAGAAGGGAAATGAGAGCATTTATAACAAATTTATTTCGAACTCCAGGGAGAAGATTACGTGTTCATTCTAAGGATACTAGTCACACAACTCCAATCATTAGGAAGTAATTTTTATTATCGCTGATTTCCAATAGTACATTTAACCTTTTACTTCACAGTAAGTGTCGTCAGCTATGGTCATTTTTAAATTTATCGCTATTAATATTCAAAGGTTTCCCCGAACAAAAATAGTCGAATTCGTCTCCAGATTTTAGAAAGATCATAGTAGCGATTAAGAAAGATAGAGCTACTGCGATCAGATTTTCGTTACCTAATTTTGAAGCACTATCAATATAGCCCAATTATGATTTTAATTTTCGGTAATCATTGTCATTACCCCTGCCGTATCTTGTAGTATGTTAAGCCATAACCATTGTATAATACGTGCTATTACTTAAACAACTGGCCAAAATTGGTCTATTGAGTCAAATACCATCACTCTTAAAGTTAGTTTAAATTTAATTTATACCGCTACGTGTTTTTGTCATAACCTTCGTATATTTCTTAAATATGTCGGGTAGTACTGTTTACCTGTCTGCAAATAACGATATTACAATAACTTGATGAAAAAAGCTTTATAATGCTGTAATTAACATTATTATTTGCCTTTAAATTAGAATCTTTCAAGAAAGAGTAACAATTTCAATTGGGTTTGTAATCGTAATACTCATACAATTTGATTGGGTTACAACTGATTTTCTGGATAAGAGTAAATTCATAATTATTGTCCAATTTATCCCAATAAATCTAAAGTCTTCTTCTGCTATCCAAAATAATATGCTGTGTTTTAATGTAAGCAACAGTCATTTACTGCTAGTGAACTACGGTAGTTGTGATAGGCCGATGATGTTAAAAATTTAGAGAAATTATATTTTGGAAACAAAATCATATTTCACTAGTTCATTACGGCAGACTTTTAATAAAATTATCTTTGCTAACGTATTTACTTGTCTCTTTGTAACGCTATTGGATAATTATCGATTGAATTAGTAATATGCGTTATCATTATTGAAAAAATAACAAAGAGATAAAAGATATTATTCATAGTGTTTATTAATCATAACCGTCATGATTATTGATAAGACTGGCGACGATGAGACTTTTTAGTCATTCTATCCTTTGCAACAGTTGATTCAGACTGTATACTATGCTAGATCATACCAGTTGTCTATATTATTTTTACTAAACCAATAAATACATGAAGACTTAATACGGTTTATTCAGATTCATAGCGCTAGGTGCAGAAGACATATAAAGTAGATGAAGGATTCGATAATGCTAACTGTTTTTATTACCGTAAGTGATGCAGCGCTATGTTGATGGCATTATCGAAAATTAAAGTTTTATTACCGATCGTTTGATTACCATTAATTTATTTAAAGTGCTTTCTTAGCGACCGAAAATAAATTTTTTTTCAAATCTTTTCATTTACTTCTCAATATCTATAATTTCTACATAATATTGTCAGCTGATATTGTTATTGTGTTTAATGCAGAAATTTTAGTGATTTTAAGGGTAGACTGTATACTGTAAGTTTAAAGTCGACGTAGTAAAGTATGGATAGAATCGAACTATTGCTGATATCATAACTTCCCTTCGATATTATATTAACCATGTCGACGGTATGATAAGAGTTTACCTAAATTACTCGTTCGAAAATTGACAGATATTATCTAACGCTATAATACTGTTGGAGACTACCAAAATACTGGCTCGCGCAGGTCAATAACGATTGCAAGTAAAAATTAAAATTCCACCCACCCGCAGCAGCGCGGGGGTATTTATACTACTATTGGATGATTGCGATTATGGGTTTATTTCAATAGGTCAGTATAAGATTTTTACAGCATCTTTTACCTCAAGATATCTTCATGTAAAACGAATAGCTCTAAGGTAGTCATTTCTGCAGAGTACTAATTCTTAAAATAGTATTCGTTATATCGCTAAGGGTGGCTACTGGGCCTTTACATTTTGATTTGATGTAATACTCGGATGAAAATTGAATAAGCATCAAATCTTTAGAGAGTTTTCTACGTAGCCATTTTGATTGTTACATTTTCTTTGAACAGTTGTTATCGACAGAGCAAGCTTTGCTTGCATACGCAAGCGATCCTTAGATATATTATAATGATAGGTATAGAATTGACCACAGTACAGTACTTAGGACATTGTACCGCACTGTCTATATCTTACAGTACCTGCTAATCTTAACTTGGTTTGTCCATCACCGTACATTAGTTATCATAATGTGCTTTGGACTATGAACTAATCTTAATATAGCATTTCATAGCATTTCATCCGTCAATGCGTTATCTAAAAGTAATATTCTAGAAGCACAGCTGTGAATATAGTAGTGCCTGACTATTACCGGGATATATATAAGGTCGAATGGTAACACTATCTGTTAATTATTGACAAATGGGTACATTATCGTAAAACGTCAGCAAAGCGACGTGAGTTTGTACTAGTAAAATCTAAACCAAAATATATCATATGTGATGTTAGAGTATTAGTTAGTTACGGTACTGTATTCACTATTCGTGAAGATCTAATAGGTTGGAGTACCTATAATTCATAGAATCTAAAGCCAATCGTTACAGAAATGAGCTACGCTATTTAGAAGAAAATATGATTTTGATCTGAGAAAAGAATTGTCTTTCGTTATGATTCTTAATAGAAATCTAAGTTAATTGTAGTGCATACGATAGACTGGCAAACAAACCTACAATGAACTCTCCCTTTATTTTTCCGAATCAGTAATTACATTATTGTACTCATCGTATAGCCCATTGGGTAACGGTATTTAAATATATGCATATAACACATGTTCTATGTCACCATGTGAATATAATGCATGCTAATGTTGTCTACCTTATGAAAATATTAAAACACAATTACAGTATGAGTCGTTACAAATATTAATATTTCAAACCAATACAATCAAGAGAATAGGTAGGTAAAGAAAAGAGAACCGAGCATCATTTCACTCCACAAATGCAGTTATATATACGAGTATATACGCGTATGATAAAATATATGAATTCAATAACAATCGTACCATACTTTAGAACGTCTAATAATCAAAAAAATTTAGTGGATAATTTTATCTTTCTATTTATCAAAATTCCCATAACGGTTGTCAAACTTCTAACGTAATATTAGTGTACTTTTATTACTTGGTACTTTGGTTATTGAATTAATATATTTTTTATAGCTTTCTCCTTTAACCTCACATGCTTAATAAAATAAACTTTTAAATTTATTTCAATACGGTGCTATGATACTACTTTTAGAACAACTTTATACAAAATTATTTCACTTCATCATCTTGTTTCTCATTACTTAACAATAACTTTACCGCTTCTTCTTGATATTTCATAAGGCAAATTAAACGCTCTACCACATTCTCTACTACAGTTATCTTCTTATTCTCGATATTATAATTCAACGGCGCTTGATATGCCATACTAGTATGCAGATTGCCATTCTGAAGCCATTTAGCAACCTTCTCTTTGAATAGTAAACACCAGCAATCTTCGCTCACTTGCCCAGTTGTTTGCCATTCTATACCGCCATTTATTTTCCTATTTGCGGTATTATTTGCGTATTTTTCGTTATAATACTCAATAATATGATGGAGTCCTCTATCTCGACAGTAATTAAATAAGCCTAGCTTCGTTTCTGCATGAATATTTTCCTGGTCAGTTGTTGCTAATGTCTTAACTTTGTTTAATATTGTAATGCGATCTGCTTCAGTAGGCGTCAAATTAATGGGATGATTCTTTACAGATACTAACCATCTCTTCCATCCTTCTACTAAATGATAACTACTAATAAATATCGAGAATGAATCATCGAAAATACACTTATAAGAGCTAGCAACATAGTTCCATTCAGTTACTATCCCCGCATCAGGAGATAATCCAACTTCAACCAGTTTAGAAAGTGAAATACTTAACAGCTCAACGATTGGTTCTGATGATATTATGTATGCGATAATTTCTGCGACATCAAATTCGTTTTTGTATAATAATAATCCGATAGGTTGACCATGCCAGTCAAGTCCATCTATGGTATGATAATGCAAAATTGCATCTCCTTGCTTTATCTTTTGGATCTTTATCATACGCTTACGCATAAAATCCGTTTGCAATACGCAAAGAAATAAATCTTTGGGTACATGAGTTAGACCAATAGAGCAATTCGATTTATGTAAATGTTTTTTTCTTATTTCAAGAAATTGATTAACAGCGTCCGTGTCTTCAAAAGTGCTCATGTAAACTACATCATTGCGGTATTTTAAAATCAGTTTTCGTACACAATGGTTATCGCTGATGTGACATTGATGAGCATTTCTTAATTTGTTCTTAATACTAATGATCTGCTTCAGCGTTGGATTCCAGATGATCGAATTGGATGACGATGATAAACGCGCATTGTTGCTACTGGTTGGGATCGAGCCTATTCCTGGAATATTTAGACGATTAATGCTGGCCATAAATGTAAGTCTTGAACTCATACCTGAGCGAAGACATGCAATGATCCATGCTCTTACAGAGCGATGAAGAATTCGACGGACTTGATTATTAGCTTTACTGTTTTTCGTAGCATGATTATGATATCCTTGCATTTCAATTTGGTAAACCTCTCTTTTGCAGTAGAAATTGGATATTTTGACATAAAATGGACACGGCTTGACATTGCTTTTTGTATTAGCATGACCCTCCAAGAAATCATTTCTGCGGCAGAAGAAACAGAGTTCTTCACTGCTGCCATTCATGACATGACTTTTTTTGGTTAAAGTAAAGCTGTTATCTGCAGTTAAATTTATTAAAAAGGAACTGAGTTCAGACACTGGAATTTCTCCGGTTTGTTTTTGGCAAGCTTGCCATTTTGAAGGGAAATCATCAAGATCCTCTAAGCTGTTCATATTGACTGTCTGGATAGAAGAATTTGAAACGGAGCTCGTGTCATGGCTTAGATTTCTATTCGCAGTCTTGTAAATGAATTTCTTCACATTTTCTAGTAAACATTGCAAAAATAAACGTATTACAATTCATCATGTATTAATTATGTGCATGGGATTTCGACCATGGCACGGATAAATTTCATCGCCTAATGGTTTAGAAATAAGATTATCTGGTGTACTATGCGCTTTATTTTTCCTGCCATCATCGATGAAAATATTGTTAGGATTGGTTGCATTGTATTGCTTTCTATAAATATTTTCAGAGTTTCTATTAAATTTAATTGAAACAAAATTTATTCTAGAAAGTATAAATCTAATTGGAGTCATAATATGATATAATAAGAGTTAAACCTTTGTCTTATACTGTGGCTAGTTTCTTCTCCATGTAAAGTTTGCTTACCCTGAAAAGATTTCAGCGATATAAGTTAGGTTAATTCGAGTCCTTTGCTCTACCGCACCGTAAATCATAGCAAATATTATAAGGTTGATACACTTTAACAATACTTTACCTGTGTTCTTAGTGAAATCTCAGACCTATTATTGATCAGAACATTACTTCCTGATGTATTACAGGGATTTGAACACTGTTTGCCAACTTGAATATCTGAACTAAAGTGTTCTTGAAAAGTACAGCGACAGTCCCGAGGAACTAAAATGAAGAAAATTGTTGCTATCTACAAATGTTATAGTATGTACGGATTTAATAATGGTGTATGCTATAAAGCACCGTAATTTTCTAAAATCTCTGTACTTTGATAGGATTGAAAGTATATCAGTTTTAAATCTACCATAAGTATACCTGCATCCGCCGAATAAGACCTTCTTTGAAATGAATGTCTATGGTTAGGCCTAAAGCCATTTATCGGCATAGAAATCCTAATTTTACAACCGTAATCGTAAGGTAAATTTAGATCATTTTAATCTCACTTAAAAAAGAAATTTAGTATCAATGGTAAGCACAACATGCAATAGCGCACCAATTTTTAAGATTGGTCGTACACTTAGATGCTGATCTTGATTTATGTTGTTGTCTTTGAAGGAAATGGCGATTTTCACTTCGATCTCTTCCTAAATATCAATTCAATTTGACATGATCATCAGCTCTAGCTAAACCCAAAGAAACAATCTTTCAATAGTACCAATTCTAAGAAAGTTATTCAAAGCAAATGGAAATCAACATCACTTGAAGATTGGATCGATCGCTTGCAATAATTTAAATTTTCTAATTCCATTCTACTCTCCCTCAAGATCTCTTGGTTATTCGCAATGATCCTGTCTATCACATCCTTTACATTGTTCGGATACATACTAAAATTGAAAAACGGGGTAGAATCTGGCATCAGTGTAAGTACAGAAAATAGTCGATCGAGGAATATACTGTATCATGATTAGTTCGCAGCAATTCATCGATATTTTGATCAATATTCTAAATCTTGAATAATTTCTAAATAGATTCGTATTAAGGAGTAGGGGTTACTTGAAATCGATCTTGCAGGTACTGTGGTTTTCCGATCTCTGCTAATGTTACTATGATATTTCAAGTGCTATCGCTTCGAGTCCTATAGTTTCTCTTATCGCTTTGCAATTTTAATCAATTTACCATTCCGAATAGTTAACGTAAATGAAGTAATGGTATGCGCAGGCATTAGAAGCTCTAGCTTAGTTGAACTTTAATATGCAGACTATTAGTGCACATGCTATTCTTATTCATACTGGAATATGTCTTTGGCTTGTTATGTCAATATTATTTCACTTAACTCTACCGACACATTTTGGAATATACTGTAGTATAAGTTATAGTATCTTAGTTTATCATCGTATGCACCGTTTTTCTCTTCCAATTTCCAATTTCTATTTCTTTATCGTATTATTATTTAAAGCATTAACACCAACGATTGCATTAGAAAAGCTAGAAAATGAAATACTATTTTTACCTTCAATTCTCACATTTGTCATTTATTCCAAAATACTGTCCCAGAGTCATTAATTATTAATATGCTAGTGTTAAACTCATATAATATATTGGCTAAAGTAAACTATCAATTCGCTTTTTTCGCTCATTCTAAAGATAACAAATCCAATTTGGTAAACTATGTCTCTCATATAAAACCCAAATGCTACCATTACGTAGACATTTAGACAGATTAAATTAAGTATAATCGCATTTATTCGTAAATGGATATCCTTTAGCAAAGACGAATAAGTGCATATGTAATATGGTACTTTATAAATACTGTCAATAAATTTACTTGGCTGCATGGCACTGTAATTTCATAATATCAAACACTTGATAAATAAACTTTTGAACATTTCTGCCTTTCTTCATGTCAATATGATGATATAATTCTTCAAAATGTCTTCTGCCAATAGCGCTTAAGCTCTCTGATGATATTAATTCCGAGTCACTTTTTTGATAAACCAAGCACCAAAATTTTTCGCAACAATCATAGAGGGGGATTTTCCGTTGAATATTTTGATCATTATAACTTTTGAGTGCTTGTTCTAATGATAAGCCATATTTGTTGCTATAATGATGATTTACGTGATCAAGGCCTTTTTTCTTGCAATATCGGAGTAATATCCGTTTTTCTATGGCAAAGTTTTCCACTTCCGTAGTAGTAGCTAGTATTCTAATCTTGTCTAGTATAAAACATTGATCTGCTGGACTAGGGAAGCAATTAGGAGGATGATGCCTAGATGATGCTAACCATCTCTTCCATTGATCCAAAATAGAGCTACGATCTATAAAAACTGGAAACGACGGACCAAAAAGGCACTCAAAGGCACATATCATACTATTACATTTATTGGTTATTCCAATATCTGGTTTTAGTCCTACCAAAATCAATTTCGATAAAGCAGTACCTAACAACTCTACACTATGATCGGATAAAATAACATATGCCACGATTTCACCTAATTTTGCATGACATCTATAGAGAAAGGCACCTAATACTAGTCCACAAGCATTTAATTTTTTGGTGCCTGAATAGTGTAAGACTGATTTGCCCGAACGCAAATTTTGTATGCTTAGCATGCGGGCCCGCATATATTCTGTTTGCAATACGCAAAGAAACAAATTATTAGGCACCTTAATTGGACTAAATGAATCCGCATTGCAAATTGATAAGCCTTTATTAGCCATAGATAGATATAAGTTAATGGATTCGGTATCTTCAAAAGTACTGATATACAGAACTTGATCACGATATTTGTCAAGCATTTTTGGAATATTCAATTTAAGCTTGACATAGCTGTTTCGAGATTTCTTGACCATCTTTTTAACCTTTGCAATTTGGTTGATGGACGGGTGCCATGCTGATGCTGCATCAAGTCCTTTTAGTGCTACGTTACAGATAGGAATACGACCAATACTGAGAATGTTTTCTTGATCTATGCTAGCTTTAAATATACGCTTTATACTCATTCCACTAAGAAGGCAAGCCGTTATCCATTTTTTAACTTTCCCATGTAGCTTTTGATTGGCGGAAAGAATATCTTTTTCCTGTACCTTATGATTATGCTGTCCGAATACTTTAACTCGATACGTATTTCCGCAAGAAAAGTTATTGATTAATTTTATACCATATGGACAGTAATTTGCAATGTTTGCATTTTGCAAACTCCCTCGGCATTTTCCACGACTACAGACATAGACAATACATTCTTTACCTATTCCGCAATAGTGTTTTTTCTTGACTAGAGAAGTTTTACTGTCTGTAGTCATTTTATCTATATAATCTATAACATCAGTAATCTTATTCGCACCATGTGAACAATCATAAGAGGCGGTATCATTTAAAAAATTATCACCAGCTGCATCTGCAATGCAGTGAAAATTGTCCATTTCTTGGTCATCTCCATAAGCTGTTTTAGCTATAACATTATTAAGATCAAAATTCCCTAGTTAATCGATAGGCCAGCTTTTAATAGCGCTTTAAAACTACAAAAGCATCAACAGGAAATACGTAGACTAACTTGCTCACTTACCATAATCGCCCTGGTGATCTACTCTGTCTTTATTTAGATGGTGGTGTTCATTTGTGTTTGGTGCAACAGATTTGTCGTATAAATTCTTACTGAATGTGAATTTTTATAGTTGATGATAACAACGATCAAAAAAATAAAAAATATTTCAGTAAATGTTTTAAACACATCCACAACGACATCCTCTCGCTAGCTAACCTTGTAGAATTTAAAAGACCAAAATTACGTGCCCTACCACGCATTGGCTGCGTGTGTGGGCAGAATGAGGAAGCCAAATTCCTACTTTTATCATATTTTCTTAAACATTTGGAGCAAAAGGGATTATTCTGATCTTCCTTTTCTGAGTAAATTATTGCCTCAGCCGATACATTATTAGAAGATGATGGATAGTAAATCGATGTATTACAGTTAGAATGCTCTTTATGACCTGAGACCTGTAAGGAGTGGAGTAGCAAATTACTATTAGGAATTTTGGAGGGTTCGACATAGTAGCCTTGATTTGCTTTTTCAACGGACGAATTAGCTAATTGATATTTACGATCTTCAACTCCTAATATTAAATGTATCAAAATTATTAGCATTCAATTTTTAATAACTGTTATGACTGTCGGATAATATCAAAGATTCCAGTAAAATATTATATTCTCACTCTTACGATTATTTGTCGATATAGCGTATCCACGACTTCTACTGATAGCTCCATTTGCACATCTAGAAGCATATGGTATTTGCTCATTATCGTCCCTAGAAAGTATGTTAAGAGTTATTTTAATTTATCAGGGGTTATTCTTCATCATGATATGATTGTCACTAGAGCTTGGCCTTCTGTTGGTTCAAAGAAAATGCTATTAGGGCTTTACTGAAATTTACTTACATTAAACTTTGTAAATATTGTTTTTGTCGTTTTCTCATTCGATGTAATCGAACTCTATTTCGTGTAAGCGCTCTTTGCTTCTGTAATTTGCAATCCTGACAACTAAAATGTACGCCATGCTGGCAAACTTGTTCCGCGCCAGTTAGTTTGGAATGTTCAGATTTTGAGTTTTGTTCCATATCCAAGAATTTATTATTATCCTCGATGAAGTCGCGATTTTCGTTCGATTGATCAAAATAATTATTGAAATCTTCTTGCAATTCATCCTCGTTCTCTTTTTTAATCTCCTTCTTCATAGATTGATTGCTTTCTGAGTTAAAATTTACTTCATTATAATTACTCTCAAAAACGGTAGAGGATTCAATAGATGTATTTTCTACTTTTATAATAGCTTCATCCTGCTCAATAAAATTTTGTTGAGCTTTAATATCATCTTCAGACTGTAAAGAACTAGCAGCATTATCCGCAGTGCCAAATTTTGTATCATTCAAGGTCTCAGCTTGATCGTCGAATATGGATGTTGAGTTATCAATGCTTTCAGTAAAATTTTGAGACATTACTGCTTTCTACTAGGTAACGTCGTGCCCGATTGAATAAGCAATCGCTAGAGCAGAGGATATATTAGCAATAAGACTAATTTACCGATGTTGCTATTCCTACACCAATTATGATCAATAATTACCTAATCTTAATAAAGCTTAATGATAATTAATTAAAAGATTTGAAATTTAATTTGAAATCATCTAAAAATTGATACGTTTTTAGACTTCGAGTTTTAGCGTTTAATTATAGAAGTATAAAGTATCCGCACAGCAATGTTACTCAAAGTTTAACACGGGTCGATAATTATAGGGATTATATTGAAGTTCTTAAATAATAATGTAAGAAAATATTTCATAATTAATTATCTTAATTTGCCCGAATAACAACATGGACCTCATTCATTGTAATTAATGCTAATGATAGGTGAATACTTTAACGAAAGTCTTAAACGAGACTTAATTAAATTTAGTTGATTTCGCATCCTGATGTAGAATACATTATTGAGAGATCAGAAAATCCTCTTTGCCTTACTACGAAAGTAAACTGTAGTAAATGGATAATAAATAAGAGTTGAAATAAAGCAATGATTGCTCCATTGTAAAAGTAGTATGGCGTTACAAAGAAGCTGAGCAACAAGATTGCGTAATTTATGATCATGAAGTCAGGTCCTAAACCATTTAGCAGGCAGAAAATATCTGCACCATTCAGAACACACTTCTTATGTGAGTAGTTAACGCTAAAACTAGCACACTTTGCATTTTGCGTTAAACAGTGATTTTAAGAAACTCTTTGTTATCCGGCATACCGCATTTATATATTTTTCTACAATTGATTTTAAAGCCTAGTTCGCTCTATTAATTTTGAAGCCTTTCAATGAATCAGAGACTAATGTTTTCTGAAGATACTTAATGAAGATAAAAGTAGTTACGAACAAATACATCTAATGGCTAATAAATTATTATTGATTATAGTTGGCATTCAGGCTACTTTAAAATTTATAATCGATTCAAAGAAGAATGTTTATTCTTATTACCTATTGCCGGAAGTAAAAATATGAGTAACATCTCAATTGCAGGTATAAATTTCATTCTTCAAGATCACAACAGAAGCTTCAAAACTATGAGTGATGCTGCAACTTACTGTCCAATTACGTATCAGGGACGAAAATAGTCAAAAAAATTTACCCTAATAGATGCAAAATCATCGGGTAACAAGTGGGTATGATAATTAAGCTAGTTTGTTGCGCAAGTCCTCCGATTGTGATATGGAACAATTGCTTTCGTGAATAAATAGAATCTCATTTATGAGTCTTCCCATCCAGCAAACTAAATTTTCAATCATAATAATTCACTAGAAACGAATTCAGTGTCTATTAAAAATAATCAATGGAGAATATGTAATACGATGATCTTAAGGTCCAATAATCCCGATATTAAACCAATGTATAAATAGTAATTGCAAATGGAATCAGACGTTGTCTATATGGTAGACTGGGTTAAGGTAAAGTTATTTGAACAAGATCCGTTAGGTTTCATTGTCAAGAATGCAACGAAATTGTTAGCTAATAGGGTTAAAAATTTACGTATGTTCTTCTTATTTGCATGTAAAAAGCTTAAACAAAGACTTATTTTTCAAATTGCATTCCAAACTAGAATATTAAACAACATTTAAGTACTTAAGTAAGACTGGAACATGATTCGATACGAATTATAGACAGCTTATATGTCATGCTATCTGTACACGCTATGCATATATCTAACATATATAAAGTACAGCAGATCCTATCGATAATCTGCCTGCTTAAGACATGCTTTATCTTTAGAGTAATGGACACGCAGATTAAGTTAAAAATCAATATCTATTAAATTATTAAATGTTCAGCACGAACCGTGGATTGGGTAAATATGCTCTCAACGGCAAGTAATTAGCAATGATGGTCATAAAGTCATCACGAATTAAAATAACTGGACCCATAAACAATCTATAATGAGGCTTAATAAGTTTCATTGATTAGATTGGTGTATGATTCTTTAGAATTTGATCGATAATTAGCCCAAATGAGAGCTTATTTTCCTTTCGCTTACGATATTAGCAAATTTTTCGAAGCTAGCTAGTCATAGATCCTCACAATTTTATTCTTAGTAACGAAAGTATTATATCAACTAGAAACAAGAGATGAAAAACAACAATTGCATTTCAAATTTGTCAGAAATAGACTATTATTGGAATTCTTATTTATATTTTAACACTTACCATAAATCTATCAGTTTCATGAACTTGCTTCCCTAGCTGAAGTTTATTTACGATAGCCCTGGAATCTAGACGAATTAGACCTTTGCCAGAACTACGCTTGTGGCAAAATAAAAAAAACTTAGTACTAACAATAAACTTTACTTCAATCCGCAGAACTACTTCCCTAGCCCACAGTATAGTGATTGGAATTCTTGCTAGATACACACTTACTCGCTCCACACAATATGCAAGGTATATAACTCTCACACAACTTAGCCTTAACCTGAAGAACATTTATTGATCACAATCCTAAGAATATACTCTGTCAGCCTTTATAGATGTATTTACTATACTATCAACATATTTCAATAACGAATATGATATTACGATTAAATTATCGAATACAGACATTCAAGGTAGTAAACTGTGGTGTATTTAAAATATACTGTAACTATATTCTACTCTTAAATATAGACATGTTGTACTGCTCTTATATTTAGACATATCTGCAGTTCCCTTGCTTCACATTCATATATAGTCTACTTTATTTTGATATTACAACAGTCGCTGTTTGCTACAATTATCAGCTATGTTGTAATCTGTTATGGTAAATGTTGTATCTAATTCTATAATCCTATTCTCTACATGTGCTCTATTTGTAAAACTATAAATACCGCGAATTTCCACCTCAGAATTTGTTAGTTTCCCAGTTTTCCTTTACAACTTACTCACGACAGCTTGCACGCTGATCAACCGTAACTATCTCACTGTACTTACTTAACTACTTAAAATAAAGTAAAACTTTTATACAACCTTTGGTATACTAATAGTAAATGGCAATTAATCTCAGTCCTTCGAAATATCAAACCCTCCATCACATAAACAATTTTAGACGTAAGTTTACGTAGATTGTAAGTTCAGTGAAACTCCTATATTCTCGGTACTTACTTGTAATATATTACTATATCGTCATAATATCGTAATAAACTTAGTATAATAGCATCATTAACAATTCCTAAAGTAGTACTTCATACTTCTAACCAGTTCAAAACAAAATGTTATCGTAAACTACACATCCATTTCTAAGCTGCTTTGATGACTATTGCAGGCTTTTTCATTTAAAAGAATATGAATGAACTGCTTTTTTTATATAGTTAAGCTTTGAAGGTATTAGGATAAAAAATGTTATACGATTGACCTACACTCAGTTCTTGATCTATAGCAATCTTGATAAAACTCTACAATTACTTTATAGAAACATACGAGAGTAAGACCTTGTGAGTATGAAATGATTCATTACCTTATTTACTGATAAGGCTCGCAAAAAGTTTTCATAAGCGAGAATTCTAACTAGATTCCTCATAGATGAATTATTTTCGACTATCTTTTATTTGCAGTAATCAGCAATACTATACTAAATATAGCATTCTTAATTCTACATTATTATTATGTAAAAGCAATAAGGTAATCAAATGCAAAGCTTAAATATTCATAACGTATTCAACTAATCCTAAACTGTAAAATATTATGATACAAAGGCAGATTAATTTTGAAATTGACTTTGATCATATTCTACTATTTATATCTTTGCTTTAGTATTGCAAGCAAAAATCGCACATATTATGGTATGCCTCTGGAATGCACCAATTTATGAAACGTATAAGCTTTTGGTGGCTTTCGTTTTCAATGCACTCTAGATGATAAATTTTGGACACTATGCCACAAGTTTTAAATTTATAAACTTGATAGCATAACGTTAATATTCGAAATAACTTAGACAATTTCAGGTAGTAAATATATACTTAGATGACCTCTGTAGGTACTGATTGGATCAGTTTCATTAAGTCCGTGTTTGAGATCTATATTATCAATAACTCCCACGCAAATTTTAAGCTTATAGTGATGCTTGCCATAAGTTTATTTGTAGTAAATATAATCCGATAATCGTAGGGAAAATATCGATTCATATCGTAAGAAATTTATCGTACATCAAATAATAAATTAGAAGTGAAATTTAAAAGTTCAACTTGAAGATTTTCTTGAATAAAATATCGTGTAATATACATTAATAATAAGAAATACGCGTATATTGTTTAAAGTGCAATAGCAGCTAAAAATCAGCGTCCAATTAATGCACTAAAGTATTCGTTATTTAATACAAATATTAATTTCGAATATTTAACACAGATATAATTGCAAATTTTCTGTTAATTTTTAAAAGGATAACTGAATTTTGATTAGCATGTAATAAGGTGAAACATTTAAGGTGCAGGAATCTATTTTATTGCGTATTGCTGCTGAATGAAGTGTTAATATAAATTAGAAATTAGAAATGTCAGCTAAGAGAGGATATTGTACATAACTGAACTGATGGCGAAACCATAATTGTAGATATTCAGCTGTCTAGCCACTATACTCGATAATTCTAATTGATGTTACAGCATCAAGTAGATGATAGCGTAAACATATAATGATATTGAATTCTTTAATGTAAATTATGACATTATAAGAAGTTCTACGCTACCCAATTGATTACAAAGTTAACAAGTCTATTAAAAGATCGTACTTAGCCAAATTCAAGTGCAATTGTAAAAACTTTGACTGTACCAAATTTATAATGCGATAGTAAGAGTTATTTTTAATACTATAACTGCAACATCAACCAAAGATTGGCCACTCTGAAGTGGGTAGAAAGACCTTTAATAATTTTTCATTAATGCGCAGCAATGGCCCATCTCTATCATTTTTTTTTTGCTATTACCTAAGCGAAATATTGAAAGCTTGCTTGATGATGTTAAGTTCCAAACTTACAAAAAAGTTTCGGGGCAATAGGCCAACCGATTTCGACTTTCTTCCATCACGTTACAGCAATAGACGTTTATTTGCATTTTCTATTTTTATGATTTTTTGAATTGTTACAATGTTCAAAGCTTATATGTAAAAGGTGATTACTAAGGCATTTTCAAAAATAGATTCCATTGTGGCGAGTGATAAGGTTTCACAGACTTTGACTTCAAGATACTTAAACCATATGCAGGAAATAAGACGAAAGAACCGATAAAATAATCAAGTCAACTTGAGACCGAGCGAAGATTGACCAAGCTCCACTTGTTTGTTCTATCTTGATGATTGTTTGAATTTTGTTCGTTGTAGTATATACCATGGGGGCCGATGTTGATCTGACATTGGAAAAACTTTTTAAAGGTCTAAAATAAGAAATACACATTCGATATATGGTTTAGATTAACAATCACAATATAAAATTCGCAAATTAGCCTAATTAGGGAATAAAGTAAGTCATAAATCATTCATTCATTTATTGAGAGAAGTAGCTATATAACGATAAAGGGTTTTATATATTTGCGTTATTCAAATCGAAACTATCCAAATTTTCTCAGTTGGTATACGGTAATATTTGATAGGAAATAGCAATAAATCTGCATCATTTAAAAGAGAGACTAAATGAAACAAAAACATATTTAACTGTTACTATTGGTCGCATAATATTACTATCAGGTCTATCAGTCGTCATTAATTTTTTCGCTAAAGATTTGGGCTAAAAATAGTAAGTTGGTCATCTTGGGCGTTTACCGTACTAGTTTACAACGTCGTCTATTTACTTATTGGTTCAAGTATAGATGAGTCATTAATCAACAATCTAAAATATTAGCAACTGCTAACAGACTATTATGGTCTCAGAACTGAATTATTAATTCGGGTGTGTTGTACCATTCTGATGTAAATCTTGCTAATTTAAGATTAATAGGTTAATTTATGGCTAAATTACGTCTTCCGATACATTACTAGCATTGTCATGAATAGAAAATAATATTTAAGATATTTACTAATTGCTAGAATACATACACGATGTTACGTATATTATTTACTATTGACAACTTAGATAAATATTCAAAAGTCTTCTATTTCAATTATTATAATAACGATCTTCATATGATTAAGGCTAAAAACTGTACGGAATAGATAGTTGTATTTGATACTAAGAAGAAATGCTAAAAATTACCTGCCGTGGCATAATGCCGGCTTTGGCATGTTATTATGGCATTTTTGATTCACTTTTTCGCAGCTGCCAGAATAAGCTTTACAGGATTTTTGAGTCGGAAGATTGCAACATACAGCAGCTGAATGACTTATTCTATATATTAAGTAGATTATAATTAATTGGGAATATTTATACTTAATAATTACCGTACTATCAGCTATAAATTAAAAGATAGCGTATAGGAACATTTAATTTTTAATACTTACAGAGTTTTTAAATTTGGCATTTTGACAAATGCATCCTTGTGCACACATGTAACATTGGTCCTCAACATATTTCTATCATATTGAAGTGATATTTTGATTAGGGTACTTTATAATCCGATTTCAATTTCATTAAAAATTCTAGCATATCTAATACAATAATGCACTCACAATTCATAAAGCTTTAGCAATCCTTCGAAAGCATTATGGCGAATAATAGAGAGGTGATTATTTCCTAAATTTCTAATACAAATGAAATCAATAGCATATAATTAATTAATGCCTACAGTATAGCAGTAACAGCATCAAAAACTCGTTCGATGGAATTCATAATTTTTGAAATGGAAGCTTGACTTACAGACTGTGCAGATTGTTCAATTTTTTGAAGGCACTATTTTTGATGTCATACAGGCAGTTATTAGATATGTCCCTATTGAAAGAAATAAATTATACGTTACTATTTCATAACTTTAATGTTATACCTAAATTTAATAATAAATAAGCTAAGACCTAAAAAATACACTTTTAATTCTCGATGAACACTTACAGTTTTTGGAGTGTTGATAAGGAGATGAAAACTTTTGAATTGACAGTAGTTAACCTATTTCCTTGCAAGTATCTGATTAATAAATGAGAAATAGCATATTATTTCATTTTTTCTTAATCATTATTCCTCTATGATTATTCTAAAGCTAAGATAAAGCTAGCAATTTTATTTCAGCAACACTTGCTAGTTCTTACACAAATTAAAACCACAGCTACGAATTCAGTCTAGGCTATTAGTTATTAAAATGAATATAAGATAACCTACATTTCAGTTAAGCTCTTCATTTTCGTAAATGCTGCGTCCTCGATCCTCGATATTTCGTTGTTGGTTAAAATTCTATTGAAATAACAGCAAGATAAAATTAATAGTTTGAATGATGCTGTAAACAACGAAGAATGCCGCTAATTTACTAACACTTACAGTTGAATTAAGTTAGGCATAGATCCGAAGCTTGTCTTGGTGATTGAAGTCAGTTTAGTGTAAGATAAATTCCTACGGGTAAACAAATACAATATATTTGATTGGAAGCTAAATCGAAAGTGTTTTTACTGCTACAGAATCGAGTGCTAAAGAAACAGATTATAAATTATTAAATATTCCGCTAAACTAGTTTATTATGTTGAAAGATTAACTTACAGTCTTCTTAAATTTCGCATAGGGGCGAAAATATTGTTCGAAATTTTAGCGATATGGTTATTACTTATATCTCTGTAGAGATTAACAAATAGATTAAGTTATTATATCGTATCGTGAATGATAAAAAATTAAATCTTTTCAATAGCAAAAGAATAATGTTTTACAAAATGCTATTATTTCTACTTACAAGGCTAGCAGATTGTTAAGATTCTGAAACAATTCAGCACTTAGTGAAGTAATTTCGTTTTTACTTAAATATCTAAAAAAGTATATTGGAAGCATTAAAAATTGGATGCCTATATATAGCAAAGCTGTCTGTATAGTTATTTAAAATATCACATACAATTCCATAAGATGAGATAACGGCTGAAAAGTCTTTTGATTGATGGTATTAAGTTTATTGTACCTTAGTCCTCTATAGTGAAATAAATTTAACCTTTAGCCTCTTTTAATATTATTCGCAAAATCTTGATAACTATGCAAATACACATTAAATAAGGAAACTAATGAAGTATTTTCATGTTGATACTTACAAGTACTTAAGGTTAGAATTCCATTTAAATGCACTATCGGAGATATTCATGACGGAATTATGGAACAATCGCCTACATTTAGAGTAAAATTATTTAGTATATTTAATAATTAATCATTAAAAAATGGTTTATATATAAACTTAATGAAAAAAGAAAAAAAAGTAAACAATAAGTAATATGCAGCTGGAAATGGTGTACTAGTACATACTGTATTTCTGATTATGCTCACTATTAGATATCGTTACTAATTTACTTTAACTTACAGTTCTTGCAAATTCGGTAGTTTAAAGCTCTCATCATCAATGCGCGATAATTGGTTATTATCCAATATTCTAGATATTCAAGAAGTAAATATAAACCAATTAAAATAACAGCTATCTACTTTACTAGGAATATCGAAAACTTCGATATAACTTACAGTGTGTTTAGTTGGCTTAAAGGATGTAATGCGATAGTAGGAATTTCACGAAGTTGATTATTACTGAACGAACTGTGGGATAATAGTTATTTCTATTTAATATTCATGTACATAAGATTTCATAATCTAGTAATTTCTTCTTCATGTTATGTGCAGTTGTGTATTTATTTCAATGCTACTTACAGCATAGATAATTTATGTAATCCATTAAAGGCTTGATTCTTAACTGACGTTATTGAATTTTTATCAAATTTCCTAGAATAAAACAAAATGCATTAATACCAGTAAATTGAAGTATAATACACACCGGATGTAAGTCGTTAAGATTATTATGTATGAAACTAATTATGAATATATTTAATACTTAATTAAATTTTTACTATAGCATTATAGAGCTACTTACAATTTGCGTAAATTTGTCGAATTAGCGTATAAATTGTTCTCAATAACTTGTAATTTGTTACCGGTAAAATCTCTGTAATAGAATACGATTTACAACGACAAATTTGATTATCTAATAATTTTTTGCAGCAGTCAATTTATATTACTAAATAAAATGAAATGCCACACATTCTCCACATAACATTGTTAACATTTTTTAGTATCACACCAATGCTTCTTGCATAAGCAGTGTCAAAGTACTTACATAGTCGTTAGTTTCGATAATCCTTTGAAAGCTCCTGGTTCGATTTTATTAATTTTGTTATACTTTAAACCTCTGTATTTTAAATTGGGAATATTTAGAGCCATTAAATTTGATATGCGTATTGAAAAAAGTTATCAGAGCAATTATTCTTATTTGCGTCTTATCTTTCGTCAATTGTATCACTATGAGTACATAAACTTACATATAATTTAAGTTCGGATATGTGATAAAGCTCGCTGATGGAATTGTAGCTACGTTCGTATGTGTTAAAATACTATCGAATGAAAGGAAAGAACAATTTACAACCGTCAATTAATTAAAAGTCAGTAGACATCTTGTCATCAATTTAGATATATAGAAATATGACTTTAGAAAATGAATTAAAAGCAGCATTCCAAGAGAGCAAAGTACTAAATGGTAAAGTCATGGCCATTACAAATAATGATGTATATCTCATGATTAATTAACGTATTTCAACATGAAGGGAAGAAAAACTGTTTACGATTACAATCCATACGCTAACATATCGATTTGCATATGCTAATAAGAGCTGGTAATGAATTCATACTCACAATGACTTGATGTTTGGCATAACCGACGAAGTTAATGGCATTGTTATAATATCGGATCCAGCGCAACTAACCGTATGAAAATTGCCGCAAAGGCAACCATTAGGGCATTGTGACAAGACTATTGAAATGTAAATTGAGTTATTTATTAGCAATGCATTTATTACTTCATAAATACACGCACACAAATACGCATACCAGAAATATATAGTTTTTATCTAACCCTAATCACTATCAGAATCTCAAATAAATTCTGATGAAGGTAAATTCCTGCTAAAAGACAATTTCTACGACTAGTCGCTTGGAGAACTACTGTATAAGTGAAAAATTAAATATAGTTATGGTAACAAAAATTATTAAGATCAGCTACAGTACACCGTTTTTATAACGTGAATCCATAATTTATCGAAAATACGTCAGCTAGTGATGAGATATGGCAATTGCTAAAGTTAAGCCACTCAGTTTAGAAGCATTTATTACTCAATATGGTCAAATTATCTATGCATACGCATGTTATCCTGAATTGCAACCTGTATACTATATAGATCATATCTTACTACCTGATAAGGGAAACGCAGTCAAGCAAAGAAAAACAGTCAAAGTTGAAGGATGCATTGTGGATTTGTTGAGTAACTTTTCAGCCGATGAAGAACTGCCGAAGCAAATTAACAAATGCAATTTAATTCCTGGTGGCAAAGTGCAACACTTATATAGAATCAGGATCCGTGGGCAGGGCTCATTCCATAGCTTAAAATAACAATGACTTTCTTTGTCCATATTTCAATAAATGACGGCATTTATTTGGAGTAGATCCATTTCTAAGTGGTATAAAGGCCAATTAAATTAATATGATTAAAAAATACAATCTAAAAATAGCCCTATTAATCTATCGCTAAGCAACCACCATTCAATCACCTACAGGAGATCTAGCGGTCAATAGAAGATCAATTTAAAGATCACTCACTTTATAGCATATTTAATATTCATTGTGAAGGACATGAATGACCCTGGCAGACATGTTCACAATTATTTTTAATCCTGGGCAGGCCTGTTGAGTTTCTTGTTGAAACCTAGCATCAGCATGACGAGTCATGTTTTCAATAAGTACACCATTCAGGTAGAGAACACTGGCTGAAAGTGAACTACTCGTATGTCATCATGCCAGTTAAAAATTCCATCAAAATAGAATAGATGGGGATATCCATTACTGTATTATGTATCATATGATCCAAACCATAAGGTTATCATGACTATTTTTAGTCCTATCTTACAACCCGAATACTATGAATTACGATGTTGGATAAAGTTTAAATAGTCGTTCATTTTTCAAAGTTGTTCAATACCATTATCCTTTGCCACTAACCCTTGAATTTAATTTGCATTTTATTATATAGAAAAATTCGTAAACAAACAGAGACTTGTGCAAAGTACAGTAAGTCATAGTCGATAGTAAGAACAAGCAATGGTGAGTATTGTAAGGTTATACGAACACAGTAGAAATCGATTGAATGGCTACAATCTCCTGTTGTGATTTTAATCACGCCATACTAGTCAAAGTTCATTCTAGTGGTTATAAAATAGAAATACGATAAATGTTTTCTTTCTTTTACTACTAGCTACATGGCTTGCGAATAATTTAAAAAAAGTAAACCGGGTAAATTGATGATTGCAAATTCGAACATTGTAATATTGCCGTTGAACAATAATCCAATCAAAATTGTAGTAAATGTGTCTGCTTCTACTATTGTCCATAACTCAATGAAAGACTTCAACTTTACAGATTGCCACTGAGTACAGTGTTCAACTCTCACTCCGAACTTTAAAAATGATGTAATTAGGGATAAGTAATAATAGCAAACAATAATAGACTAGACCACTCTATACCTCTAATACTATTTTATAGGTATAATGGTGTAAAAATAATTTGGATACAACTATGGAATCTTTTACTACAACATAATTTGTTGACATGCTTTGAAATCTTAGCAAAATGCGCCAATTATACTCTAAAATAAGAGAAACTTGATCGCTTTGGAAACAGTATTAGCTGATCGTCAGCTTATTCCATCACCTGATCTTCTATAGCAACCACTGTAATGTTTTACATCGAAAATATCACCTAGGAAACCATGTTGCGGGTTATTTCAACATCAATGCTAGTTCTGATAGGTATCTTTCGATGGCATGATGCCATAGTAATCATTACAGGTTTTTAGTTCCTAGCCGAAATACTTCACTTTGGCAAAAAGCCTACGTCCTAAGTGCCATTAATATCAGGATAACGGTCAATTTCAATCTAATATAATATCGTTCGAACGACTTTAATAAAATTGGTTTATCTCGCTGCCGGCACTTTGTTGACAATATTAGTCATATAAATACTGCCTTTGTCTTGTTTGCTAATTATATTCCTGTTAAATTATATTGCCTTTCGCTAGCGAAATGATAAATCATGATCAGTTTAATCTACTTCAATTCTTTAGATAGTCCAAAATGACCACTCTAGTTAGCCTATATTACAGAACTAGTAGGTAGTAGAGGAAAACGAAGTTTTACTCCTTTACGGAATGTTATTCGCTGGAGTAGAGTCGTATTTCTTAAGTATCTTAACAATTTAGGCTATCCAATTATGTTTACAATATTGTTCTTACATAATTACTACTTATCAAAATAACCAAAATCATTTTCATTGTTTTTAAGATTGTATTACAGGAAGGCAAAGAAATTAATCTAGCTAAAGTAATTGTATTTAAAGGTCAATTATTAGTTGAATGGCATAGAAAATCTCTCTGGAACAACTTTCTTGCTTTAGCTTCACATACCATTTCAATCTCTACAAGTCATACAGTAAATAGTGAGCATATGCAGTAAGCAAAAGTCATTTATTGTCGTATACATATTAAAATTCAAGTTAGTTCGTTTCTGTTTTGCAATTAAATAATTACACAGTGCGAATAGTAGCGTACAAAATCTGGTGATAATCATCCAGCGCGCTCACCTTGTGACGTGGACCAATTAATCATGATGTAATTCTTCTCATGAATAAAACATGCAAAAATATTCCAATAATCTAAAGGCAGTAATTAGTCATTATTATTGCCAAAGAACTATATCTAAAGTCGAATCTTTCGAAATTCGATTTGGGTTTCGTTATCACGTAGTAACTAATCTCAAGGGACAAAGATCGACATACTATAATAAGAAATTGTGGCATTGTCTGGAAACGTTACTAAAACCATAACTTTAATTTATAAGCATTTTCGTAAGCTAGTGAAAATAATAAATAAGCTATTATATGATCAGACTAGCACCTTTAATCGCTTTTGACATATTCCGCATTGCGGCCCCGACCATGAAATCAAACAAGAGATCTATTGAGAAAATATGACGATTACTTTAATACCTGCTTGAATCACAATCTCGGCATATTATCTCAATTTTAAAAATTTTACTTTCAAATTAATGTAGCATGAAACGATACTTCAAATTTTGTAAGCTATAAGCCTATTTATTATGTGCTATATAAACCAAATAGCAGATGTACTAAAATTTCCAGAGGAAAGAGCCCTCTTAGAGCTCTATCAAACTAATTCAAATCAATGAAACTGATTTTAGTCACCGTGTGAAAGGTATCAATTTGCAAGGCAAGTCATTGATAATGCGATGTTTAAAACTATTAGTTCATTGTCCGGGCTATAGATGGAATCAGTCAATAATAAAGCAAGGAAGTGTTAATTATTATTTTCTAATGGGTAGCCCTTCAGGATTAAATAGAATTCAGAATAGTAAATTTTTTATAAGTCCTTGCTATTAATGAATTGTTAAATTTCAACGTAAGATGATATCATACGGTAAAGAGCTAGTTAATGTCCAATGGGATGATCATCAGTTTGATAGAAGTCAATAAAAATAACCATTTTAACTAGGGCTGAAATTATAATCTGAATTTCTTTATGCTTCTCGTATATTCTAAATCCAGAATCAGTTTATACTGTAGTCAAAGTCCATATGGAGAGACAATCTACGACCCGTATTACATTATTGCCCGTCCAAGATACGTCTTTCTGATAAATCAAACATAATAGTCTTTAGTATCAATAGCCAAACTGCAGCATCATAAAGACAAGCGATTTCATCATCCTTCGTAAAGGGGCGGAATAACAAGCTATCATTAAATCAATTATTTTAATTATATTCTATTTCTTTATTATCCTTAATATTAGGGTTTAGATTCAAATTGACTCTACCCTCTATATGAATAACTTATAAGGTGTCCTACTGTTGCCTCGACTTCAAGTTAGTAAAATTATGATACGTTCCCATTTCAATCCGTGAGATGAGTAAATCTTTATCTGCTACTGCTAAAAATTGATACGCTATGGCACATTTAATTTGTCTTCCATGGTAATAGTAGATCTTTTATCTTCTATGGCTGCAAAAATTAATTCAAGCAATAAAGAAATTAAAACGACTCCAAAAACTGATACTGCAGCTAACCATCAAATTCACCCTCTTAAGCAACCTGCAACAGATTTCAAAACCTCATATTTTTCTATCTGCAAAAGGTTACAGTAAACCAATATTCACACTTAGACAAAAACTAAACATAAGCTTTATTGAAAAATTAGTTAATTTAAAAGAAATCAATATTAACTGAAGTAGTACGTCGTAGATAAAGTTATAAAACTTAGCCTAAGGCAACATATTTTATTAAAAGAAACGAAATTACCAAACTTTTCCGAGGTATAATATCGAACAAAAATAAGATAATTACTTGTCCTAAAGTCACTTTGTAGTCTTTGTAAGTGTGAATTATAAGTAAAGTTCATTTCGATTTAGAAACATTTTTAAAAGCCATAGGAGAGACAGTTTAGAAGATTTAAAAAACAATAAGCTAACAGAGCGGACCAACATTTCCGAACAGAAATTCATCACGTGTAATTGAATGTTAAAGATGTAAAGTATCAAATAAGAAATTTTAAATTGCATCATTCTAAGAAAATTACTACAATTAATTATTCAAATTAGATCATTTTATCACCTGTTTGTTTCTAGGAACGAAAGTTAAAATTACACGAAGAGAGATAAGTTAGAAGTATTTGT